GTGATATAATTGCGTGGAATCAAGCCATTTTTGCTTGCGATTGCTAGCATTCATTGGATTTCATATCTTAATCTCAACCGTTAACATTTAGTCTTTCGATTGCTAGAATAGGATTAGAATTGTGTTGTTTGATCAGCTTGTGAAGACAGTTTAGAAATAGCACTCATAGGCGAATATGCCTTTTCTATTATTAGAATTTGTCATTTTCATGAATTATTTGTATTTGAAAACGAGTATTTGAAACCTTCATTGAAATCATAGAGATTGACTTCTCAGTTAGGAATGTTTCGAAAGCTTCCAACAACGCTTATTGATATTCTATTGATTGAGTCCTATTTGATAACTTTTATGACCAAAACAAAACAAAAACGTTCCCTATTGCCTCGCAAGCCAATGCCGAATTGCTTTCTCACAGAATCTACCCATGGGATAGCATCCATTTGTTAAAATTGTTTCTTCCGTCGAAGCTCACAACATGCGAATCAAATAATAACAACTTTGCTGACATCGTTTCCATGTTGAATAAATAAAATAGCTCGAAGATGTTTATTTATCTTTATCACTTCACCTAGATCATTTCTATTTGAATTCACATTTTAGTTCAGTCCTTATTAAATGCGATGATCATTTCAGAATTGTTTACCAATGTAATGCGAGTAATTGTTTTGACATGATCTTAACATCGATCGTGTACACCTCTAATTTTTCATAGCCATTCGTAACGCGTTAGGTTGTACAAATAATACGGCTTGACAATTTTCAGTTTACAATGGAATTTCAACAGTAAACCTTCAGAGCTTCAACAAAACTGAGGCAACAAGCAGCTTATGGGAATTCTGATTCAGTAATTTCTCTGCTACCCTATCTCTGAGCGCCGCCACATTCACGGTCCTCTCTCGTGCAGGATTCTACTCGGTAAATCAGTTGTTATTACCGATCTGATCACCTATTTAGCGCCTAAGAGATGCTGCTTTTTACTGTAATCTTTCCAATGTGCACGTGCGAACTGCTCGAGTCACTTGTCGAATTGTGCATTTAATTCATGCCATTTGAAGCGGTACGGTACTTAAACAACAGTTTTCCGCAGAATGTACCGTACGGTGATACTCTTATTCACGTTCTGTCGATCGTCGCAAGCGTTGCGATGTTGGTATTGTGATGGTGATCGGATGACGAAACGTGGTGGCCAAGAGGAAGTGGCAGCCTGGATGACACCGTCGAATAGATGCTGCGTACCGAGAATTGTAGAATGTCCGTACACGTCCGCGTATTGTTTGTGGGCATTTGTGGATGGTTTGACGAAATTTTGGATTTCCGGCTGTAACGCAGACGAATTTGTCGGATGTGACGCACATCCAATGCCGTATAATGCCACTCTTGAACGTTGCCAATGCCAGACGGATTTGTGCAATCCCATTCGACGTATACCGAATTGCTTAGCAACACCTCGAAACGCATATCGACTTACAACCGAACAAATTTCAGTTGATGATATTGATAGTGAAAGTGACGATGAGGATATTACTGATTATGCAAATGTTAATAGTGATGAAAATGATGAGAACATTAACAGTGTCGATACCATAACGATACTCGATAAGAACGAAATTAAGACAGCTGGTAGTTCGAATGGTGGCAATCGCCTCTTCAAAACTTTGAGGCTGTCAACTGGAGGATTCAGTGCGCTGTTTGCTTGTAACTTGTATAATCTGTTCATTCTCTTATTGTTGAGGTTAAATGAGCACTTCGTTTTGATGTGATATGAGTTGATGTTTTGATCTATCCATATAATAAACTGATCGCTTGAATATGTGTCACACATAAAGCAATTATTCGAGTGTTTATTGAACAATTATGATACAACACAAAGCTATTCAAATTGATATCATTAAAGCAAACCAGTTTATAACTTGTATAATGCATTCATTTCAGTGTGCAATTTCAGCGCGAATATCAGCTAGAAATGATAGTTCAATCAGTGTTACGGGCAAAAAAGTTAGTTGATCGAAAGAGTTGGGAAATTTTGATAGCAGCATGCAAATTCGCTGAAACTGAGATTGTTTTTAAGCGAACGGAACCTTGGAGCTGTCACAGAAACATTTATCAGTGATGGTCTCTTTAGGAGACGCGGCTATAGTTTGTCGATTAGATCCCCGCCGCGTACTTCACTGATGCAAGTAGACGAATGCCCATAAGGACCACTCATCGTATTCAAATCATCATGTATAACATGAATTTGCATTTCTTACACTCAACTTCTCAATCAAAACAACTCTTTTAGCATTTTACATGCTAAAGCATATAGGCACTGTGAGGACTATAGAAATTGTAGCCGGTGTAGGGATTATATTGTGAATGGTGGCCCAGTCCCGATGGATAGTATGAAGAGAATGGATTCAGCGGGCTGTGACGCATGTACGCACTGTACGGACTGTACAAACCGCCGTATCTACTCCCTAACCCCCCGAAAAGACCCCTACCTAACAATCCACTCAGACCGTAGCCACCTAGCCCACCACCGTACAAGTCGAGCCCACCCAAACTACCGTATCCACCGTATGAGCCCCGCCCACCCAAACCACCGTATCCACCGTATAAGCCCCGCCCACCCAGACCACCCAAAGCGCCTAAGCCACCATATAAGCCCCGCCCGCCCAGACCACCCAAAGCGCCTAAGCCACCGTACAAGCCTTGCCCACCCAGACCACCGTATCCACCGTGTAAGCCCCGTCCACCCAGACCACCCAAACCTCCACCCAAGCCACCGTAACCACCGTGTAGGCCCATTCCTCCTAAACCACCGTAAAGACCATATCTACCGTGTGAACCAAGTGTACCCATTCCACCTAAACCACCATAACCACCCATTCCACCTAAACCGCCATAACCACCCATACCTCCTAAGCTACCATAACCACCCATACCTCCTAAGCTACCATAACCACCCATGCCTCCTAAGCTACCATAACCACCCATACTTCCTAAGCTACCATAACCACCCATACCTCCTAAACCACCATAACCACCCATTCCACCTAAACCACCATAACCACCCATACCTCCTAAGCCACCATAACCACCCAGACCCCCCAAACCACCGTAAGCGCCGTAACCCCCCAAACCACCTTGGCCTCCCAAGCCACCGTAAGCGCCGTAACCCCCCAAGCCACCTTGACCCCCCAATCCACCGTAGCCACTGTACAAACCATAAGGACCCATTGCCGGATATGTTGCTGGATCGCAGAATGCTGGCACTCTAGGTGGAGTGAATCCGTAGCTACCGTATGCTCCATATCCACCTTGCCCACCCGGATACGCTGCTCCGTACAGACCACGACCCCCGCCATAACCAAGGCCACCATTAGGATCGCCGTATAGGCCGGCACCAAGTGCGCTACCGTATCCGCCATAAAGAGCACTTGGGCCGAACATGCTGCCGACACCACTAAGATGGCCATATCCATGCGGAAATGCACCACCGTATTGACCCTGGAATACGGTCTCGTTATAAATCATCCTCTAGCTTCATCTCTGCAAGATTATTGCTTCTTTGCTTTATTATCAAAAACGCTACTGATCGAAAATGCGAATTAGGCAAACACATAAAAACTGGAGGATTTCTGCTTTTTTAGACGCTTTTTGTCGAAATGAACAGGTTTCAGTTGAACAAAGGTATTGATTGTATACTGAATTACATAAGGAATTGTCGGCTGAATTTTATTCGAACATAAAGCGTGAAACATTTACAGTGCAGTCGAGCGGATGAGTTCAAATTGAAACATCTTGTTCGAAGAAAACGATCGTGCGGGTGATTAAAATGAAAACGATCAAATGAAAGCAAACCCTTTGGCCAGAGTGCATCATCTGATTTTGCCAGTTGTTAGCCAATCGCTGATATGAGGTCAACTGAACACGTTGTTGCTCGTTCAGTTGACCTCTGTAGACGCCATTCACGTACAACTGATTGTTCTGAAAACGAAACTGCGATACGACTATCTGCGATACTAAGTGAGAATCTGAATTTGAGAATTCGTTCAAAAATCTGACATCTAAAACTTTGACGCTACGAAGGTTCAAATTGGGATGAAGAAGCTTCAGGAAAGCGCAGATTATTCACAGTGATCAATCGCATATTTTAAGATCACAATTTGGAAGAAACCAGAATATAAATCATTTTGCTCTCTCGTAGTATCATTTGGTAATTAATA